AAACACGAAAAATGTGCCATACAAAAGAAGGTCAGACCTCCATTATTTGTGACTGAACATCCTGAAATGTAGAGCTTTATGATGAAAAGAGTTTGATAAACTCATTCAGCGCAACTTAGAATAGTCATATTTTCCTTCTTCTCCTCCTCACTTGCTCATCACTGATAAGCAAAATTTTAAAAAGTGGTTGTCGAATGAAGTGTGTTCTCTGTTTCCTTTTGTTCATTAATTCTTTTAGAAGCTTGATCGCAGTAACTACTTCCCAAAGGATTGAGGGTGCACACTATAACATGCATATAAAAACGTTAAAATTCTCTTTTTCGAAGTTTTTTCATCATGACATACATTAGATGAGGATGTTCCAAACCATAGAAAAACTGAAAAGTTCAAAGGTAATTGAGATCTGTTCGGATAGTGACAAACTCAGAAATGTCTCGATTCTCTTACAAAAACTTATTATTGAATAGTGAGGTTGATGTGGCGTCATCACTTACTTATGTAGAGGATAATTTAGATTGGTTCTCTTGTTCCTCGTTTATGTCGTAATACTAAACAAATGGGCCGACAAGCCCTTTGCCGAGGTTAGCTCTTCACTCAATTTCCTCATAATAGCTCCCCCACGATCTGTGTCCAAATGCTTAGAATTTAAGCCTACTATTTCAAAAACAAATATTTTTTCCCTTAATTTGTGCAAACTTCCTCATTTTAATCATTTGTTAGGGTATAATTTTGATGGCATTTTCCACAAAATCTACTAGAAATAATGGAAAATAAGAATCTGGGTCTTTTTTAGTTCTGTCTTTTAAACAATTTTCTAAAGGCAGAATTCCTCGAAATTCTAGCGAACGAAAGATTGTTTGATGACGTTGTAAATAATGTCATGTAATTCGAGTCGAACTGGTCGTTTCCGTCAGCTAATCCGCTAAAGTGTTTACCGGATGACGCATGCGTTTGTATGTATGCGCAGGTCGTACGTGATGACCACCTGCCGTCGAGAGTACAGCTGTCTTTTTATGTCCTCATCCACTGTGCGACAACATCTTCCGCGACACAACTATCTACCGCTTCTGCTCTTGGGCGATTTGTACATGTCATCCTTCCTTCCTCTCCCTTTTCATTTCAAATGAAATGCCATTTGTCCTCAGGAAAAGTGATAGTTTATCGTTGTCGATGGTGCGCACGAAGCGCATATCTGAACACCGCACACACTCTGTGATGCATTGCAGTTTGTCACCTGATTGATGCTTTCGAGTTCCTCTCTCCCAAAATGTAAGCATTGACGGCATGGCCCGAAAGCTGGCTTCTCACGCAGCCCTATTTGGACGGTTGATATATCAAGATCGAGAGAGCGGAGCATAGTGTGATTAATACGACCAAGACAGGCCATCGTTGAATGATACTCTCATATTCTTCAGAAATAACTTGTCATACCTCATCCTCCCAACAACATCCTCATTAATAGCGAAAGGATAAAAAATTATAGTGCACTTTAAAATCTTCCTGTTTCTAAAAGCAAGGGCTGTGAACTTATAGGGGCTACCTACTTCAATTTTGATAAACTCCTACTCATACCCTCGGCTAAGCAGGATTACACACAATTCACATAGTCGTTTGTGCTATCCTGGTAGTTACTGTAATCAAGATTTTTTCGCTGAGACCACTATGTTCACTTTCCGAGTTCATTCCCT